TTTCAATCCTCTTTGAGTATGAACAATTTTATTATCTTGAGATTCTGCAACAGATTTGGACCCTTTTTTTATCATCAGGATTTCCAGCTTCACTATTATCTTCAAATAAAAGTTTATACAAAAAAGCATACATGTTTGGTCCCCGAAGAGTAATTTTACCCCCTACACCCTCCTTAGACCCAATATTTTTTTAGCGAGCTGGTTTTTGTTGAATAAAATAAGGCATTTGTTTCCTTTTAAAAGTTATTTCTACTTTTCAAGAATTGGCAATATAAAAAAGATGAAGAAATACATCCTATTAAGGTTAGGCTTCAAGGCAGAGCATGGAGAGAAGAAAATTCAGATTAATTTAGTCAAAGATCTTTTTTGCTTCTATTTTTTTTTGTTTGGATCTTCTTTAATTTATTTTTCATTAGATACTACAAATTTAGCTTCTTTAGCCTTATTTTGTATTTTTTGTTTTAGTCTGGTTTAAAAATTATATGCCACAATTTGATACAATGACTATTTTTAACCAAGTTTTTTAGTTAATTTCTATAGTTTTTGCTTTTTACATCTCCAAAAAAATATTGTCAAACTACTTTTTGAAAAGTCCCTATAATTAGAACAAAAATTAGGTTACATACACCCATATATTTTTAAAGGCCTCCATTTTCTACTAATCCTATACTTTCATAATTCTAATTTAGCGCTACGTACTTGTGAAACAGCTTTATCAAAATCTTCTTAAGGCTTTCAAACTCTTTTTGAGCTAACTCGAAATCAGCTTGGAAGTGTGTAAAAAAATTAAGGTTGTACCTAAAGCAGCATGTGTACATAGGTTTTGGTCGAACAGCCCAGCCATGTTCGGGTTGGGGAAAGAAATACGGGTACTCCTCCGGGGGGTGAGAAGCCAAGATCGGGTGCACCCGGTGGAAAGACGGCCAAGGTCGGGTAGGGGCGGGCATCGGCCAATCCGATGGTGTCATGCGGTCGCTCCCAGCAGCGTAATGTAGGGGTACCCGATTATGGCCGTGTTTTGACTGGGTGTACCCGATTTTGGCCGCTGCTCTTATTCTTTATAGTTTCATCGCTGGCCTCCTTCCTCTCATTGCCCACGTTCCGAAGCATGTCACTATTTTATATGTTGCTGTGTAGCTATGTACGTGTTCTGATATGCATGCGTGTCTGCGTATGACGCGGGTGGGCCTGGCCGGCGAGAACCTGTGAAGCACGATCTACCCCGGCAAATAAAGGATATGAAAGGTATCTTGTTTGTCCGCATGGAAGTGGAAAACGAAGGTATCACCCTTGGCGTGATCTTGAGCCCTCCACGTTAACGTCGTGTGTCCATGTGGTGGGTAGACCGGCATGGCATGGCAGGTGTAACCCCGGCGGTAAAAAAACCTCTGCATAGTAGGGGTAGAAGGAAAGAAACACGTGATTTGTTCATTGGATTGATGGGTAATCTTTGATTCTCTATTGTTGTATTCATTTGTTTGGCATCGCTTGCAGAGCGGGAGCGTGAGTTCCGTTTATTTGTTTAGTTTATCTCTCCTTCGCCCGAAATACCATGTCGTGTGGGGCCTGTCTATTGATATTCTTGATCGTTGGTTATCACGTTTGCGATTTTTCTGGGACCACTTCAATTTGCCTTTGTTCCCAGAATTGTGTACTCTTTGTGAGTAGTTGACCTGAGACCACGGACGGATCACGGACGGCGCCCGCGTAAGTTGGACCGGTACGGATGTTAGAACGGTACTGAGCGGAGACCGGAATCTTTTCTAATACTTCCTCTGTCACATAAGTAAAGTCCGTTATGGGGGAATTTACATACCTCACCAACCAAGGTGTTCCTGAAGCTCTAGTTAGGTTTGTTAGAAAGCGCTTGTTACGCACAAACTTAAAAAAAAAAAATCCGACTCACAATTACTGAGAATTAGTGTGTCAAATACGGGACTATTTTGCGAATATTTTGGGAATATTATGAAAACATTTTGAGAATATTTTAAAGAATATTTGCAGCTTTGTGCTGTGTGAGCACCCACTACCACCACAACGACGTAGCTATCATGGGGGACGACGCCCAGACACCCCCACGTCGTAAGCGGGGCGCGGAAGTATCGTTGGGTCGTCGGTACGCCATGGCGGTGATTCCGCCGGGCAAAGAAAGGGTACCCACGGGCTTTCTAGGCCCCGAAGTGTCTTGGTTTTAGTGTGGGCCTCGAAAATGTCTTGATTTTAGTGTGGGTTCACTACTATGTTGGTTTTTGTATGGGAGGACGCGAAATGGATCGTTCAGTAGAGGTAACCTTGGGTTTAGGGTTCGGGATAATTCTTGTATGTTATTGGTATGTTTCGTTTCGTGCCCCCACCCCCACCCTCATGGAAAGGGGCAAAATACGGCCTTTTTTGGCCTGACTACTTTTTTGTAAGCCGCTAGTGCATGCAGGGTAGTGCGCAAGAAAAAAAAAGAAATATGGGTTTCAACCCGAAAAACGCTCAAGATTTCAAAAAAAGTATCGCCTAAGACATCGGACACGGCTAAATGGCCGTGTAATCATAACGGACTTTACTTATGTGACAGAGGAAGTATGAAGACAACGACGCCGATGACGCAGTTCGACGGTCACACAGTACATCTGCTTTTCAGTGCTTCTGGGAAAATCACGACGGCGCCGGTTGTGACGATGCCGTCGACGTCCGTTGGCGCCGGTGCTGACGTTGCTGATACCGCTACAGGGGTCAACGGTGTGGAAGCGGCACTCCCTGAGACACAGGCGATGCCGGCCGATGCCCGCGAACGGGCTCACGACCTTACCACCGCCACTGGCCCCAGCCTTAGCTCGTAACCACTCCGACACTCATCTGTTGGAGTGGATACGAGCTAAGGCTGGGGCGTGGCGGCGGTAAGGGCGTGAGCCCGTTCGCGGGCATCGGCCCGCGTCGCCTGTGTCAGGGAGTGCCGCTTCCGCACCGTTGACCCCAGTAGCGCCATCAGCAGCGTCAGCACCGGCGCCAACGGACATCGACGGCATCGTCACAACCGGCGCTGCCGAGATTCCCGATCAATTGCACGCAATTCAATTTCCGGAATTGATAATGATCTTTTAGACAAGCGACGACCCAGGTGTGGAGGCAATAATGCCCTTAACCCAGGCATGGAACTGTCTCCAGCATCCAATCAGCACGCCTCATTCGTTTCATTCGTTCATATATCTAGGTTTTTGCGAAATACCCAACAACGAAAACTATTCCCAGCAACGACAACAGCAAAGAGGCAGGGAGGGGGAGCGGTGCTGGCGAGGCGGTGAACGCGGACGTGCGATGGCAAAGACGAAGGTCACGGGATAGACACCATCCTCTCTGGCGACACGGTACCACGGCTGCACGTGCTCATGGGACCTGAATCTCGACCAAGCAGACCTCAGACGCACATACACACGGTGTGGCCAGGTGAGACGACAACCGTGTCGCCGTCGAAGACAACAGCTTGGCAAGAGCGTCGTAAACGGGCCAAAACGTGAGGATGTCAAGATATTTCTCGAGAGTGAAATCGAGACCTCGACGCCCAAGCCCTAGGTTGCCCGGTGCCTCCTATCAACGGTGGGCTAGGTACTTCTTCCGCGCTTGCCCCTAGTAGCGCTTTCCACCCAAGGGTAGACAGACGCGGCGCAACTTCGCTGTTGAACCCGCGGCGTAATCGCCCCTCGATTCGACCTGTTCATTACCCTCATACTCCTCCCTCTACAAAGCATCCACACTAAGCTAGAGTCGTCCCCGTGTAGCCTGGCACCTCCCTGGTCGAGTAGTTCAAAGGAGGAGACAATCGTGCCATTCTTCGCGAGGTAAAGCAGGTGAAGAAGATGGGAACAAAAAGTGTCCCCAAAAGGCGATGTAGCCCTAAAGGGGCTAAGGGGGTGTCTAACTGCACTTTTCTGGACAGGGAACAGGGAACAGGGAACTCGGAATTGTTGTCTGATTGGTCAGCTACGCAAGATAACTTTCCTGGAACCAAGAGTCGACACACGCGTTCCCTGTTTGAGGTAGTTACGCCGCAGCATAATTTTAACTCCCGCGGGAGTTGAAATTAGCCAACAGACCTAGGGAACGTGGAACACGGGCTCTTCGGTGGCAATTCAGGACGTGGTGGTATGTGTGTGATCACTATCGGCCATGTGGCTGCCACACGTGCTGCATGATACCAGTACAAGCCGAATAGGCGTTGCCACCATCATCAGGTGTCTTGCGTGCAAAAACACGGCGGCGGATGGTCGTGTAGCCGTTGTATCGGGAACAGAAAGTGTCGGAGAAACGACAAGCTGCCAACGACCACAACTCAAAAGCAAGTCTTGCAGGGCACTCTCGAGGATGCGGATTGCATGACGAGCACCACCTGTTCTAGCCGATATGCCTAGCACATGTGGTTGATGTGCGCTCGTCAACAGCTTGCTTCAAAACCTACACCTCTCTTCCTTCCTCTACCCCCCACTCGCCTTTCTGTATCCAACGGTTGTATTGATTGCCTTTGAGTGCTTGCGGGCCGCGCGCGCGAGGTGACCTGTTCCGTGTTCCCTGGAGACGTGGTGCATGTTAAGACACATCACTTGGAACAGGGAACAGGGAATTTCAAGTTCCCTTTTCCCTGTTCACTGTCCCCCAAAGTGCAGTTAAGACGCGCCCTACAGAAAATAGGCCGCACATTGCGTACTCCGGGGTAACTTGGAGTAACCAGTAGAGTTGGCACACACATAGTTTCATACTTTGCATGCATACGAAGTACTTCAAAGCGCTACTAGTTCAGGGGTGCCGCGCCGAGGGTTGCGTGGTAAACTGTGCCTCGACATGCTGCTGCTGCCCTCACGAGTTGGTGTGCACTCGTAGTGGTGATTGGTGTTTTTTTTATTTTTCTTAATATGACACAACGAGTCCATCTCTATCATAGAAAAGAGTCAGAGACAGATTAACAATGGAATCATAGCGTCAGAGAAAACTACCTGTGTGTCTACGATTTCCCAGACAGCATATAGGGACATCTCCCCTGTGGGTAACAGGCTCAACAAATCAGTTTGGTAGCTGTCTTGTGTGTCTCATATATGTTATGTTGGGAAGGTGCAGACGAAAGGTGTTGGATACTGTTGGGTAGTCGGGCGTTTTGTGTGTCGCACCCTATTAGTTCTAACACATGCAATCTCCATCAGTTTACAAACATATTCTCAGTTTGGTATGCATGTTTTTGCGTGTGTGGCGCGTGTGTGTGTGTCTTTATTATTAGCATCGACCGCGTGTGTCTGCGTTGCCGTATGCGCGTCTTTTTGTTCTGTATGCGCGCCCGTTGGTTCTGTTGTCCGTCGTGTGTCACGCATTTATTTGTGGCGTTTGCCGTTAGTGCGCTGCTTGCCGGGCTTGCCGCGGGCATCTTCCCGTGCCTGATATCCTCCCGTGCCGGTACCGAAGGGGCCTGGCATGTTTCTGACATGTTCCTCCGCAGTCGGTCCGCAATCGGCAGCCATGAATAGGAAAAATGCCATGGATACGGTGTTGGGAGGTTCTGAGACGTTCCGAGGCTATTCGATGTTCTGCCGTGCGGTGACTTGGAGGTCAATTTCCGCTCGATTACCGCCGTCCACAAGTGGGTACAATTTGGACAAAAGTGGGTCAAAATAAACGTAAGTGGGTACATGAAAAAATTAGTTCACGCCGCTGGGAATGCCCACTGCGACGTCGGACAGAAGTGGGCACTCTGGTGAGGCTTGCGCGCCTCAGCGGTACAAGGGCCTAAGGTGTGGGAAAAAGTCGATGCCCGTGCTGTGTATGGTCCCTGGCTGTGTCGCCCAGGTGTCAGAATGGGGTTTTGAGTCGTTTGGGGGTTACCTTGGGAATGCGCGCGCGCTGGATTTTCGAGTACCCACTTTTGTTCGAGAATGGTGTGGGTATACCCACTTTTGTCAATTTCCCATTCCGAAAACAGGGTACTGTTGAGAAAAGTAGTCAACGGCAGGGTATACCCTGCGCCTTTCGGACGCACCGGGGTGAAATTGGGCGCTGACCAATAATATGAGTGCATTTACTGCTGTGAATGACGGTGTACCCAGGTGTGTCGCTTTTCGACCAGGGTAGACTATATGGTACCCTGTTGTGTCGTTTTCCCGTTTTCTAACCACAACAATACTAATGGAATTCCCTCTACTCCAGTAGTCTGTTGTAGATGCTTTGAGGGAAGAGAGTGCTGCACTCTTCTCGTGATAAAAACTGCAGGCGAGGACCGCAGGCGGGTTGGGCAGGGGGGCTGGAGGGAAGGAACCTTCAACCATCTGTATGTGACCACGGATTCGTACCTACTGCTGTTGTTGTGACCAGTTTGTTGGTATTGTCTTGCTCGCCGTTCCGATCCCAGCTGAACGCAAACAAAAAAAAACTCGGGTAGGGGTCTTGGAGACGCTGTGTGGGGCATGAAGTACGTAGACCGTGCATACCTCACGTGTAGTTCCTTCGTATGCACAAAAAGCAACGCGTCGTCGTAGGGTAAAAACCTTCGTAGTATGCATAGTCTACCCGCCAACAACGCGGTTAGCCAAGATCAATGTCTATCTGGAGATCGCTGATGTTGCTGCACGGGGCTCGCGGTGAAGCTGCTTTTGTCTGTAGTCTACTGCTGTGCACATACGCCTGTAGAAGGCTGCCCGTGAGATGCCGAGAAAGTGTTCAATGGACACTGAACCATAGCACAATGCTTTACTACTCTACATATATCACCTACTTCCTCGACCGCCACGCCAAGCCCCGGTGTCTGGTCTCTTACCTAAGGGTCTCGCTCGATGCCTGATTTCAATCGGCGATCACGCCCTTGAGCTGCGAGTGCATTGCCATCGCAGAGACCCACCGCATACAGAGTAGCCTCGCCGAAGATGCACCCGCCCCCCATGTGATCTTCAGGACAAGAGGCATGACAGTCTGTGCCCGAGAAAGAAAGAGATGGTGTGGTGGCCGCAACGTGAAGCTAGCAACAGCATGTGTGCATCGTGGCATGTGTCATGTGTCGCTTCGCGAACTGCATGAAGAGGTCTGCATCCTACGGTGCCCCCGTTCATGCGATGCGGCACAACACGATGATCCACACCGCAGCCTGTGTGACTGCGAGACTGCGAGCTTGACCGTCAGCAAACACAAAGCAAAAGCAGCGACTGCTGGCGATTTCTATATCCAACCAAAAGGCTCTCACACCTTGCGCCAGAGGATATTCCGCTTCCTGATCGCTCGTGGCCTCCTTTCCAGGTAGGTCGGTCAGGTGTGTCTGTGCCAGGACGCGCTAACGGTTGGATTCGTTTGAACGTCGTGTGAAACCTCATGAGACGCACCTCACGCACCAGAGTTAAAGCGAGCTGTCGACAAGCACTTTGACGAGCCGAAAAGATTGCTGATTTCGATCGAGCAGAGTACCGCGCCCACCCTTGGCTGGCGCTGCGGTCGAACTCAGCTGGCACCACTGCTATCGGGCGTGTGCATGTTGACCGATTGAGCCGACTGGTGTCTCATGGCGCCGGGAGGACTAGCTTACAACGTGTAGACTAGCCTGTGTGTCCGGCTGCATGGAGCGACTCACAATATGTAATACCCCACGAGAGCTACCCCATCGGGAGCTGGGCGCTTTCCACGGGAGAGAAACACGGACGGCACATCCGGCGGCGCAGAATCTACATGGTAGAACAGCCGCGTTGAGCGATGCTCGTGATCGTTGGAGGTTCTTCTTCCTTATTAGACTAGACTACCCTTGCTGCTTGCTGTTGCGGTCGCCCTTCGCGGCTGCTGAAACTTGCCCACAGCTCCAAATACAGATGGCGCCCGCACTTAAGAACATCCAGCTTCGGCAGAGGCTGGGGTTCTACTATTACCGATCATCCTCTTGTGGGTTACAAATCGCCACTATATAGGTTTTAGTGTAGGGGTTCTTTACTGGGCTCACCAATGGTGCTTAAGTTCTTAGCTCCTGATTTTTTTCGAGTCTCAGTTTTTAACTGCCAAGTTCTTAAGTGCGGGTGCTATCTGTACACGCAAGCGTCGGCCACGTTTTTCGAATGTCATGTCCACAGTTTTTGTCTCTTGATGATACGATAGCAGAATAGAAAGCCCCCACCGCCACGCTCACCGACTGATGCCGCTGTTGACTGCTCGCCGTGGTTCTCTGCATGTTTGTGGTGATGATGTTGACGTGTGACGATACAGCTGCTACAAGACAGCTCCCGGAGAGACTTCGCAGCTGCAGCCCAATCTAGCACACACGCACACCTCTTTTCTGATACAAAAAACTTCCCTTCTCGACGACCTCAGCTCTTTCTTCCTGATCCGAGTCTCTATCAGGAGAGAATTGCGCTGGCATGCGAACCACAGCTAAATAGCTGTTTTAGCTATGTAAGGGGTAAGAGTTGTTGCTCTTCTCGACAAAGATTTGTGTTGCGGTTCGGCCCTGGGAAATGGAACAGTGCCAAATGGCCGTGATTCCCTGGCGCAAGCAAGTCGAGGTGACCTTGACAAGGAACTCACTGCCCTAGCGTCGTCTGTCGATGACGATCCCCTCTTTTCATGACAAATTTGTTCTACTTTTTTGGCGGAATGCATTGTAAATCGGTGACACTACACGTAGACTTTTGCGCAAACATGCCATCGAGGCCAGGCACAATCTGGAGTGGCACGAACAGATTTTGGGCGGCGAAGCAAACACAGCGTCCACCTCTATTTCGATGGCAACGAAGGTTAGGTACTGTCGCAAGGAGGACCTTCCATCTGGTGCTTTGGGTTGATTAGCACGAAACCCGAGGGAAAGCAAAGCAATAGGCACAAACCGCGATGATGAAGTGATAGCTACCATTCAATTGGAGAGAACTTTGCAGCCAACCCTTGAATGAACAAAAAATAGGAAGTAGAAAATGCCACTCTTGCAGGGATATACACGCGCCGGTTCTGGACACCGCGGATGATCCGATCCAGTTTTTGCACTGTTTTGCTATTTACATGTTATATGTATGCCAAGGGAGTACAACTGTGAGAAAAAAATGAACGGGACCGTGTAATATGTTTTTTCCTGAAAAAACACCTCAAACAAACAACACCCTTGCAAGCCTCCGGACTTTAAGACGTAGGATCAACCCTCGGCGTAATCGCACAAGCTGGACTGGAGTTGTTTCTCACAATGCATGCTGTGGAATACAGTAGAGTACATAACAAAGTAAGGCAGTTATGCCCTCAAACATATTGTGTGCAATCTTTTGAAGGGGGTTGGATCACTCTTGTGTTCACACTGCAGATTTTGGTTTAACTTGGCTTTGCGGTGGACGCGATAAGTACTTTGTAGGTGATAAGCTGGCCAGCTAACGAGCCTTCGCTTGATGCAGTCAATTTAATCGGATGCACACTTTGCGCAAGCAATGTCTCGCTATTCTGCATGTTGAACACCTGACGCACTTTTTTTTCGACATCCCCTGTTGCGCTTTTTCAACGAGCATGAAGTTTTCGCAGCAGGAAATAGTGAATCACCTCGCAGTCTCTTCGGTTTTCGTTATGACACGTCCGCTCTGCGTGTGTGTTCCCCCCCATCTGCTGGCTCTTTCCTCGCCTCCCTAGGTCTTTGTCAACAGGGAACGGTTTCACCAAAAGCAGCGGCAGCGGCAGCGGCAACAAGGACCCGTACATCAATAGTCTACACTATATTCTGGAGAGAATAATATAAATACTCGACAGCATGAGTGGCAAGCCTCGAATGTCGTGCTACCACTGTGGTGAAAAGAAGGCAAGAAGACGCATCTAAATATGCATGGAGTTGATCCTGATAAAAATGAGACCCAGAAGAACACTTCGGCGAGGTTTAAGCTGCACCTAGCTTGGGTGAAATATGCGTTCTTTTCCACCACGACCCGCCCGGTCTTTTCGTTAGGCAACCTTTCACCACAAGGTTAACAGCATGCCTCAAGTGTGTTATTGCGGCCACGAAAGTATCCGGTAATTTCATATTCATCGACGATGCTCAATGAACACTCCCACCAATCACAACGCCTTCCACCCACCCCACCATCCCACCCATCACCTCCGAACCCTCGCCGCCGATCTTCCGGAACCCTAATCCTTCCCCAAGTGCAGATTAAGTGTAGTGGGCCGCCCATCGGCGGAGGTTCTTGCACGCGCTGCGCACGGAAAGGCCGAATGTGTGTCTTCGGTGCCAAGAAGAAGCCGGGGCCAAAGGTTCCACCACCGAATTCTTCAGCCCTTACGCTGCCATCGGCGGCGGCATCTCGGTCGGCAGCATCTCCGGCCGCCAGTAGTAAGAAAGCGACGGTGCCATCCAACCCATCGCCTTCCGGCAAGGTTGGTGCCAGCAAAAGCGTAGGTACCCTACTGTTGTCCTCTCTGGTGTGTACATTGTACAGAACTTGGTCAGGAGGGCATGCTCGTATTGCTCGTGGGAATATCGCCATACCCAAGGATAAATAGCATGAACGTGTGACGGGGGAGAGTGTGTGGTGAGTGTGGTGATGAAGTAGCGCGGCAAGAACAGCAATAATAGAGACAGGATCTAGAGAGCACGAGGAGAAGGGTCACTCCGCCCTTCCACTTGCGTTCCACTCTTCTCCGCCTCCTTTG